AGTTTTCTTCCTGTAAGGGAGGTAGGATCCCCACCCCAAAATACTAAAGTCTCGTAAATCCAGGCTGGGCAGAAGGCCTCCATCTTTTTGGGTATCAGTAAGAGCAAATTCCGTGTAGACCCACTAGATAATGATCAGGGACATATGTCTAAGGTACCCTAACAGCCTGTAGTTAGGGGGCCCTCATCTTTCCCAGTGGGGAGTTTTACTCTCCTGACAAACAGGGAGCTGGGAAGGTCTCCTATGCTCAGAAATTGCCTCCACTAGCTTCTGAGGGAGAACAGGTTTCTCAGAAACCACTCCTGGAAATAGAACCACTAAGCTTCTCCCACAAGCTGAGAGTATTGAAGGTGGCAATAGAACAGGTTAGCCAGGGCCTGTGGGTGAAGAGTGGGAGTGTTGTGTGGGAAAGGGGAGTGAACTGCATTGTAGTGCTTCTGGAAGGTTTCCTATAATTTGAGCGGCAACTAGTTTTTGATGCTTAACCAGATGAATCCATATTCCAAACTTTACAAAGTTTGGCTGTAACGAAGACAGAGATGCTGGCTAGATTGCTAGACTGCAATGGTGCAGAGAAAAATGTCATTTTTCCCCCCCATTTAAAAACTCAGATGAAATTTCAGTATTACGAGGTTGAATCTCTAATTCTTAAATGTCTAGAGTTAAATTCTCCCATCAGGTTTGAGGGGCAGAGCTGAGATAAAAGTAAAAGAATATCAATTTAAATTAATTGCAAGTAAACCCAACATTGGATTTGCTGATGTGGAAATGATATTGCTACCACCAATCATATTATTAAATGTAGACCTAACCCTTCAATAAACGTATCGAAAGGATTCTGGTCCTGAAAAATCCCAAGTGTTACTACCACCTCATGCTATGAGGGATTTATTAGTTGAGGTTAATATAGATTTACATGAAGGGATAAAACCAGCTACTTCATGTTACTTTTTCCATAGGACTGGAATTATTTTGGCTCAGTTATTTTGTTGCTATGAGTTATAACAAGGCAGTAGCATTTTTGTCCACATCTTTCACAGTATTAAAATATAAACAGAAGAGATAAAGGAACATAACATTTATCATTATAAAGACCTAAAATCCATACCACAAAGAACAGACAACATTCTAAACTTGTATTTTTCTGAGAGAGGTGTTACCTGGTGTAGAAGCATCAGATTGCATTTAGGGTGTTCCATTTCTGTATTACAAATTATGATACTGCAAGCAAGTCCTACATTTCTGACCTCTGACTACCGACATTAAAGGTGAGAGAAATCTGAGGCCAAAATCTTCTAATCAGGGTGCATAAAGTAAGGCATTTAAATCCATATTTTAGGCACCTAAGTATGTGCCCTGATTTGCAGAGGTGCTGAACAGCCTCAATTCCAGATGAAGTAAAAGGGAGCGAAAAGTGTTAGAACCTTCTAAAAATCAAGTCACTTATGTATGTGCCTATATAATGATTTTAAGTGTCTGACTTCAAGCACCCATGTTTGAAAATCCTGGCCCCAATTCCCACAAGATATCCTCTCTTTCATCCTAACTGTATTAAAGGGCTACCTGTGGCATTACTTCCTGGCCACATGCACACCTGTCCAGCTGATAGTTTCTCAGCTGACTGCTTTAGCCTATCCCCCCAGCACCTGGACCTCCAAAACCTAAACTTTCCTAAAACCTAAAACCCCAAAACCTGGACCCCCAAAAACTTTCCTAAAACCTTTTCCAATGTTTTCTTTTTGGGAGTGGTCTCAGTGTAAAAGTGATTGCTTTTCGAGCTTTGGGCCCATCCCAGTCCCCGGCTGCTCTAAATTACAAGGGGACCAGCGCAGACCAGCTCACAGGATCAGGGAACCAGAGATAGCTCCATGATGCCACCAGCCCTTCACCCCAAAAGATGCCTGAAAGAAACTGGAACAAAGGCCGGTAACTACAGGGGTGTGAGTGATTGCTGGACCCAGACTAGAAGGAGGCTAGTCCGTCAAGAAGCTTACTGGAGCATCTCTGAGGGTGAGATTTACCTGCATTTACTTTCCTATTGTATTAGGCTTAGACTTGCCTGTTTTATTTTATTTGGTAATTTACTTTGTTCTGTCTATTACTTGGAACCACTTAAATCCTACTTTTTGTATTTAATAAAATCACTTTTTACTTATTAATTAACCCAGAGTAAATATTAATACCGGGGGGAGGGGGACAGCTGTGCATATCTCTCGATGAGCATTACAGAGGGCTAACAATTTATGAGTTTAGACTGTACAAGCTTTATACAGGGTAAAACAGATTTATTTGAGGTTTGGACCCATTGGGAGCTGGGTATTTGAGTGCTGGAGACAGGAGCACTTCTTAAGCTCCTTTCAGTTAAGCCTGCAGCTTGTGGAGGATGTGGTTCAGACTTGGATCTTTGTTTGCAGCAGGCAAGCATGTCTGGCTCAAACAAGGCAAGCTGATGGGAAAGTCCCAAGCTGGGAAAATGGGCTCAAAGGCAGTCTAGGCACATCAGGTGGGAGTCTCAAAGGGGTTTCTGTGATCTAACCCGTCACAAGTACCAAAGAGCCTTAGCACAGAAACTCAGCAAAGGCACCTTGGTGCTGCCCACTGTCAGGTTTATATATTCCAAGGCCAGAAGTATCATTGTGATCAATTAGTCTGACCTCCTGCATAACACAGGCCAGAGAACTATCCCACAATAATTCCTAGAGCAGATCTTTTAGAAAAACATCCCATCTTGATTTTAAAATGACTAGTGATGGAGAAGCAACCATGACACTTGTTCCAGTGATTAATTACTCACTGTATTGCCATATTTCCAGTCTGAATTTATCTAGATTCATCTTCCAGCCACTGGAGTCAGAGCCATGCCATCCTTAGGACAGAATGGGGCAACCATCGCGGGTGCCGTGTTTTGGAGGGCCCCGCGCTTCAGGACACGGGGTCCAGGGTAGCCTGGGAGGTTAGCAGGGGGCCTAGCGCTGGCAGTAGTGAGTGATCCAGCCCCAGCCCGCCCCACTCCACCAGCTCCTGGCATTGCTCAGGGGAGGGGGTGGAAGCCAAAAAGAAGTGAGGCTGGGACTTGTGGGAAGGGATGGGCTGGGGGCAGGAAGAGGTGGGGTGGGGGCTTGGGCTGTCCCGGGCCCACACACCCCCAGTGAGGGCCCTGACTGGTGTTATACCATTTCTCTGCTCGATTGAAAAGCTATGTGTCAAATATTTGTTCCTCACATAGGTACTTATAGACGAATCAAGTCACCCCATAAACTTTTCTTTGTTAAGCTAAATAAATTCAGCTCCAAGACTGAAGTGGAAAATGTCACAGAGGTCTCTGGAAGTCACAAAATCCATGACTTACATGACCTCTATGACGTAATCTTAGCTTTAGTCATGTGGTACCAAGTCAAATACCTTATAGAAGCCTAAGTACATTACATCTACACCGTTACCTTTAACGAGCAAACCCGTAATCTCATTAAAATAAATCAAGTTAGTTTGGCAAGATCTATTTTTTCTATTCCCACATTCATAGAATCATAGAATATCAGGGTTGGAAGGGACCTCAGGAGGTCATCTAGTCCAACCCCCTGCTCAAAACAGGACTGACTGACATTAGTTATATCACCCTCCTTCAGGGGGAGCAAATTCATTTCCAGGGGCTACAATGTAGCAAGCCAACTGAAGCAGCTTTGCCTGACCACAGTGGCTGGAAATACATTTCACAAATGGCCCCTTAAAGAGTATGTTAGATGGGGAGAGATAGGTGATTTCACTAATGTAGGTGGCTCTATACACCTAACCCAGAGACCAACATACCATAGGTAATTTGGAAGCAAATATTATTTATGTTAGCCCCATTACTCCTCAGTACTGGTGTAACAGCATCTGAAAATGCCATCTGTTTCTTTTTGTGCCTCTTTCTAGCACAGACCCAAGACAAAAACGTCTGAGCCAGCCCAGCAATCTACATAATGGACCATTAGAAAAAAAAGGATTCCCAATAGTAAGTAGATGTTCACAGTTCCAGCATGTTTTTTTTATTTACAAGGGATATCCTGCCTGTCTGTTTCTGGTAACACAGGATTTGCAGTAACCCTATCTTCACTTTCCTAAAACCTTTTCCAATGTTTTCTTTTTGGGAGTGGTCTCAGTGTAAAAGTGATTGCATTTTGAACTTTGGGCCCATCCCAGTCCCCGGCTGCTCTAAATTACACGGGGACCAGCGCAGACCAGCTCACAGAATCAGGGAACCAGAGATGGCTCCATGATGCCACCAGCCCTCACTCTCCTATGCCAAGCAGATCAGGTCCACATTATTTAGACCCTGTTTTCTTACTGGGGTTGAGGCTTCCATTGTCCTAAAAATCAGAAAATATTCAAAATTTATAAATTGGAAAGTTTCCAAAATATTTTCCCTATAAAAACTAAGTCTAAACCAACAACTCTATACTACTTTTAAACTAGACACAAGATATCTAAGCTAACACAATGCAGAAAGGGAGCAGGCAGGTTCCTGGAACGAACCACTGAGCTACTTAGAAGCTGCAGATAAAAAATGATAAGAAATTAAATGATGGCTTGTGGGTATGGAAGGTGCACATCTACTAAAATTTTAATAGCATCTAATGTCAACACAGCCCAGTGGACATCACAAGGGGGGAAGAAAGAACCACACAACACTCTTTTGGTCCAGTCTGACCAGGGACTTTGTGTCTGGGGTAATTTTCAAAAGAGAGATTTTAGGTGTCATTGAAATACACACAGTAAAATCTTCAAACCAACAAGTGGACACTTTGGAACCCTACCTCAGGGATTCTCCACCTCTAATAGCAAAACATTATCAGAGGCCGCACCTTATAGGAGGAGGAATTGATTCTCTCTTCTTCTACTTCCCACCCTGTGGCCAGACAACCTTGGTCAGGGTTTCTGAAGATTTTCAGCTACTGAGTGACTCAGCAGTTCCCTCACTGATGATCAGCTGTTTAGCAGGAAGCGGAAATCATGACCACAACCTTCTTATCAACAGGAGCTGCAGAAAGTCAGCAAGCTATTCAGCACGCTGGAGCTCCCCTGAACATCCCTTTGTTCTGGCATGGTGAGTGGCGGCGGCCCAGGAGGAGGAGACTTAATGGGTGAACAGGGAGAGTTTTCTTTATTACTTTACTGAAATTCACCCTCAAAAACAAGAACACTAAAAATGACGTTGAGAGCTATGTTAGTGCACAGTTAAGAATCAGAAAATAGATTCTTCTTATGCTAACTCTAATGTACTCATACTGCATGTATATATTTTCAATTACTAACTAGGCTGCTAATGTAACCTTAATATTCAAGAGATGTGCAGTGCAGCTGAGTTAATATTTATTGTGCAAACCGTCACTTTTGCATTGCCTGATTTGTGTTGAACACAACCTAAACTTGCATTAATAGCCTGGTTTCACTGCACTGTCGACAGCAGATGCCAGTCACTCTTACTAAATATAGTTTTCCAAATTATTCCAGAATAAAAAACTCTCCATGGTTGGTTTCTCACCAAAGGAGATGAGTTTTTTCTCAATTTTTAATGGGGGGAAAACATTTTCCACCTGCTATGACCAGGGAGGAAATGAGAATCTTGCCATGCTTTTTAAAAAACAGCTTCAGTAAGAAATGGAAGTGTGAAACTTGACACAGACAGTCTTTAGAACAGAAGCATCTTTGCTTAGTAGGAAAAATGTTTTTATTTAATAGCCAAGATCCTTTGAAAATTATGTTCTGTACATGCACAGTAGAACATTTTGTTGTCTACATGAGCAATGTGGTGTCATGGCATTGACAACGGCCTGGGAGTCAGGATACCTGGGTTCTATTCCCAGCTCTTTCATTTTCTTGGTGTGTAGGGACATCACTTAAGACCAATTTGGCTCAGTTTCTCCATTTGCAAAATTGTGACAAGAAGTTACTTACCTTATAGTAACTGAAGGTTCTTTGAGATTTATGGTACCTATCAGTATTCCATTGTGGATTCGCATGCTCTCCACACACCCAGAACCAGCGAATTCTTGCAAGCAGTATGTGTTGGTCCATGCATGCATCCTTGCCCTCCTCATGTTTCCAACCGAGAGCATAAATAGCCAAATGGACTGATTGCCTCTCCAGTTCCTGCTCTATTGTGAATCCAGTAAAGATTCAAAGCAGAGAGGAAGGAGGATGGGTTATAGAATACAGATATGGACCACACATCACGAAGAACTTCCATGTGGTATAAGGTAAGTAACTTCATCTCCTTCGAGTGCTGATCCCTATGTGTACTCCAGTGTGGATGACTGACTGGCAGTACTTAAGTAGGAGGAGGATGCAAACATGCAGACTGCAGAGCAGTCTGGAGGACTACTGTCCCAATAGATGTGTCAGTGGAGATATTCTGCACTAGACCATAATGCCTTGCGAACGTGTGGATGGAACTCCATGTAGTTGCCCTGCAAACGTCAAGTAATGGTACCTCCTGAAGTGATGCCACTGAAGTTGCTTGTAGTCTTGCAGAATGAGCCCTCACCCCATGAGTGGGAGGAAGATGCAACAACTGGTAACCAAGCAGGATACAGCCCAAGATCCATTTAGAGAATCTCTGGGATAGCTTGACCTTGGACTAGTTCTGATATAGAGAGAACCACTCTAGGTGATTTTCTGATTGGTTTTGTCTTTTGCGGGTAGAAAGTAAGAGCTGGGGGAAATGAAGTTTCCTCTCCTTCTCAGATGTGTGCATTTTTGAAAAAACCCAGAAAAGTGGATTGACTGGTTTATGTGAAACTCCAAACTACTTTGGAGGAGAGGAATTTCCAAAATAAATGTAATGAGATTTTATCTTTTCAGAGTACAGTGTATGGCAAATCTGTCATTAGAGCTCCCAGAGCTCCTACTGGCTGTGGCGATGGCCACAACAAATGCAACTTTCATTCATACCTACACGTTCCATGTCTCACCTTATGGTTTGAAGGAAGGCTTTGAGAGGGCCAAAAGTACAAGATTTAAGCCTCAATGAGGAGTAGGTTTCTCTACTAGTGGGAAGGTTCTGATTAGGCCCTTCAAGAATCTGCCAGTCAATCGGTTATTGAAAAACCATCCAATGGTGGATGCCACGCACCAATTGCTGCCATGTGAACTCATACAGAACTGAGGGAAAGAAGACAGTCCCCTTATTTGGGACTATCTGCTGACTCAGGAAACGTGTGTTTCTGCTGTGTCCCGGTGGGAAAATGCTTCCACTTGGTGAAACAGCATTTCTTGCCAGCAAGTTAAAAAAGTATGGGTTGGATGAATGGACTATAAGGTGGATAGAAAGCTGGCTAGATTGTCAGGCTCAATGTGTAGTGATCAATGGCTCAATGTCTAGTTGGCAGCCGGTATCAACCCGAGTGCCCCAGGGGTCGGTCCAAAAGAAATCTGATGAGGTTCAACAAGGACAAGTGCAGAATCCTGCACTTAGGAAGGAAGAATTCCATGTACCGCTATATGCTCGGGACCGACGGGCTAAGCAGCAATTCTGCAGAAAAAGACCTGTGGATTACAGAGGACGAGAAGCTGGATATGAGTCAACAGTGTGCCATTGTTGCCAAGACGGCCAATGGCATATTGGGCTGTATTCGCAGGAGCACTGCCAGCAGATCGAGGGAAGTGATTATTCTCCTCTATTCGACACTGGTGAGGCCACACCTGGAGTACTGCATCCAGTTTTGGTCCCCCCACTACAGAAGGGATGTGGACAAATTGGAGAGAGTCCAGCGGAGGGCAACCAAAATGATTAGGGGGCTGGGCCACATGCCTTACGAGGAGAGGCTGAGGAAACTGGGGTTATTTAGTCTACAGAAGAGAAGAGTGGGGGGAGATTTGATAGCAGCCTTTAACTACCTGAAGGGGGGTTCCAAAGAGGATGGAGCTAAGTTGTTCTCAGTGGTGGCAGATGACAGAACAAGAAGCAATGGTCTCAAGTTGCAGTGGGGGAGGTCTAGCTTGGATACTAGGAAACACTATTTCACTCAGAGGGTGGCAAAGCACTGGAATGGGTTATCTAGGGAGGTGGTAGAATTTTCATCTTTAGAGGTTTTTAAGGCCCAGTTTGACAAAGCCTGGCTGGGATGATTTAGTGGGTGTTGGTCCTGCTTTGAGCAGGGGATTGGACTAGATGACCTGCTAAGGTCTCTTCCAACCCTAATATTCTATGATTCTATGATCTTTTCTGCTGTTAAGGCTAATTTGTAAGGCTTCACAGCAGGAATGTTCTAGTATTGATGTCCTTCCGAAAACCAAGCCATGAGATGGAGTGCTTCAGGGCTAGAATGCTTGATTCTGCCCTTCTCATGGGTCAAAAGACTGGGAAAGGACTGCAAGCTAATCAGAGGATGAGTTGACATTAGAAGGAGATTTGGGAAACAAAACTGTCTTGGCCAATAGCAGTTGATGAGGATGACATGTACCCTGTCCTGTCAAATCTTCCTTAAGACTTGAGGCAGGAGTACTAAGGGAGCAAAGACATAGGTCAGATGTCCTGACCAGGGAAGGAGAGCATTTCCCCAGAAGTGTAGACCCAGAACTCCTCTGGAACAGTAGATGTTGCATTCTCTGTTCGTTTGGGAAGAGAAGAGATCCTAGGTTGGGGTTCCCCATTGAGCAAAGATTCCGTTAACCACTGAATTATGCAATCTCCACACGATTGACCACAAAAGGCCTACTGAGAGTGTCTACCAACACATTCTGAGTTCCTGGAAGGTAAGCTGCCGACAGGGTGATTCGATTCCTGATGCACCAATTCCCTAAGGTGACTGCTTCAACACAGGGAGATGGATCTCACCCTTCCCTGCTTATTGATGTAAGAGGTGGTTGTCATGTTGTCTGACATTACGAGGACATGGCGGGACCGGATAAATTGCAGAAAAACCTTCGAAGCTTCTCTGACTGCTCAAAGTTCCAGACGGTTGGTGTGCATCCTGGTGTACAAGTGCCCTGTGCCATATGACTTTCCATGTGGGCTTCCCAGCCTAAGAGAGAGATGCATGTAATGATCATCTTGTCTGGTAAGGATGGTAGGAAGGGGATGCCCACACATTGCTGATGAGGATCTTCCACCATGTTACTCGAAGGAATTGTTACCAGGGTAATTATGCTGCATTTGGTTGGTGAATACACTGTATGGAGCCACATCTGAAGGAAACATAGGTGGATTCTGGCGAATGGGGTAATGTAAGTGCATGAAGCCATGTGCCCCAAGAGGGAAAGAAAAGTTCTCACTGGAGCTTGAGATTTGCACATAACCTGGTCTATCAAGTTGTTCATAGTGCAAAACCGGTCCCTTGGTAGATAATATCTCACTGTGAGTGAATCTAGAAGTGGTCCCCATGAAGTCTATAGTCTGCATTGGAGCAAGGATTCTCTGAACTTGGAAAAGTCTGACTCCTAGAGAGAAAAGTGGCTGAAGCATTAATGAGAAGAGCTGGCTGTATTTTACAGAATCGTTATTGAGGTTAAAGGGACAAACAATCCCGATGTGTAGAAAGAATAGTAAATATGGCAGGCGACCAGCTTGGGCTTAACAGTGAAATCCTTGCTGATCTTAAACACAAAAAAGAAGCTCACACAAGAAGTGGAAGATTGGACAAATGACCAGGGAGGAGTATAAAAATATTGCTCAGGCATGCAGGAGTGAAATCAGGAAGGCCAATTCATACTTGGAGTTGCAGCTAGCATGAGATGTTAAGAGTAACAAGAACGGTTTCTTCAGGTATGTTAGCAACAAGAAGAAAGTTTAGCAGATGACAGAACGAGGAGTAATGGTCTCAAGTTGCAGTGGGGGAGGTTTAGATTGGATATTAGGAAAAACTTTTTCACTAAGAGGGTGGTGAAACACTGGAATGCGTTACCTAGGGAGGTGGTAGAATCTCCTTCCTTAGAGGTTTTTAAGGTCAGGCTTGACAAAGCCCTGGCTGGGATGATTTAACTGGGAATTGGTCTTGCTTCGAGCAGGGGGTTGGACTAGATGACCTTCAGGGGTCCCTTCCAACCCTGATATTCTATGATTCTTTAGCACTCTCAGATGCAGCGCATCTGGCCCCATGACCTTGTGCTCTTCCAGCTTTTCTAAATAGTCCCTAACCACTTCTTTCTCCACAGAGGGCTGGCCACCTCCTCCCCATGCTGTGCTGCCCAGTGCAGTAGTCTGGGAGCTGACCTTGTTCGTGAAGACAGAGGCAAAAAAAGCATTGAGTACTTCAACTTTTTCCACATCCTCTGTCACTAGGTTGTCTCCCTCATTCGGTAAGGGGCCCACACTTTCCTTGAATCATAGAATCATAGAATATCAGGGTTGGAAGGGACCCCAGAAGGTCATCTAGTCCAACCCCCTGCTCGAAGCAGGACCAATTCCCAGTTAAATCATCCCAGCCAGGGCTTTGTCAAGCCTGACCTTAAAAACCTCTAAGGAAGGAGATTCTACCACCTCCCTAGGTAACGCATTCCAGTGTTTCACCACCCTCTTAGTGAAAAAGTTTTTCCTAATATCCAATCTAAACCTCCCCCACTGCAACTTGAGACCATTACTCCTCGTTCGGTCATCTGCTACCATTGAGAACAGTCTAGAGCCATCCTCTTTGGAACCCCCTTTCAGGTAGTTGAAAGCAGCTATCAAATCCCCCCTCATTCTTCTCTTCTGCAGGCTAAACAATCCCAGCTCCCTCAGCCTCTCCTCATAAGTCATAAAGGAGTTGGTGGATGTGATTGCAGAGCCGTTGGCCACTATCTTTGAAAACTCATGGCGATCGGGGAGGTCCCGGATGACTGGAAAAAGGCTAATGTACTGCCCATCTTTAAAAAAGGGAAGGAGGAGGATCCAGGGAACTACAGGCCAGTCAGCCTCACCTCAGTCCCCGGAAAAATCATGGAGCAGGTCCTCAAGGAATCAATCCTGAAGCACTTAGACGAGAGGAAAGTGATCAGGAACAGTCAGCATGAATTCACCAAGGGCAAGTCATGCCTGACTAATCTAATTGCCTTCTATGACAAGATAACTGGCTCTGTGGATGAAGGGAAAGCAGTGGACGTGTTATTCCTTGACTTTAGCAAAGCTTTTGACACTGTCTCCCACAGTATTCTTGCCAGCAAGTTAAAGAAGTATGGGCTGGATGAATGGACTATAAAGTGGATAGAAAGCTGGCTAGATCGTCGGGCTCAACGGGTAGTGATCAACGGCTTCATGTCTAGTTGGCAGCCAGTATCAAGTGGAGTGCCCCAAGGGTCGGTCCTGGGGCTGGTTTTGTTCAATATCTTCATTAATGATCTGGAGGATGGTGTGGATTGCACCCTCAAAAAGTTTAAGATGACACTAAACTGGGAGGAGAGGTAGATATGCTGGAGGGTAGGGATAGGATACAGAGGGCCCTAGACAAATTAGAGGATTGGGCCAAAAGAAATCTGATGAGGTTCAACAAGGATGAGCGCAGAGTCCTGCACTTACGATGGAAGAATCCCATGCACCGCTACAGACTAGGGACCGAATGGCTAGGCAGCAGTTCTGCAGAAAAGGACGTAGGGGTTACAGTGGACGAGAAACTCGATATGAGTCAACAATGTGCCCTTGTTGCCAAGAAGGCTAACAGCATTTTGGGCTGCATAAAATGGGGCATTGCCAGCAGATCGAGGGATGTGATCGTTCCCCTCTATTTGACATTGGTGAGGCCTCATCTGGAGTACTGTGTCCAGTTTTGGGCCTCAAACTACAAGAAGGATGTGGAAAAAATTGGAAAGCATCCAGCAGAGGGCAACAAAAATGATTAGGGGACTGGAACACATGATTTATGAGGAGAGGCTGAGGGAACTGGGATTGTTTAGTCTGCGGAAGAAAAGAATGAGGGGGGATTTGATAGCTGCTTTCAACTACCTGAAAGGGGGTTCCAAAGAGGATGGCTCTAGACTGTTCTCAGTGGTAGCAGATGACAGAACAAGGAGTAATGGTCTCAAGTTGCAGTGGGGGAGGTTTAGGTTGGATATTAGGAAAAACTTTTTAACTAGGAGGGTGGTGAAGCACTGAAATGGGTTACCTAGGGAGGTGGTGGAGTCTCCTTCCTTTGAGGTTTTTAAGGTCAGGCTTGACAAAGCCCTGGCTGGGATGATTTAGTTGGGGATTGGGCTAGATGACCTCCTGAGGTCCCTTCCAACCCTGATATTCTGTGATTCTATGAGGTCAACTTATAGGCTTCTTGACACATCCTGGCAAGAAGAAGCCAGTCATTGAGATAGGAGAAGATGGTGTAGCTGTTCCATCTGAAAAGAGCTGCTACTACCAGAAAGACCTTGCTAAAGACAAGGGGGACAGTGGCACAGTCAAATGGGAGCACCCTGTGTTGGAAGTCGTCAGTGCCCACCATGAATCTGAGAAAATACTTGTGGGCAGGGTGAATATTCAAGTGAAGGTAAGCATCCTTCATATCAAGAGCTGTAAACTAAATATCCTTTTCCAGGGATGGGATTATTGATGTCAGAGTGACTATTCGCAAGCTAAAATTTCACATGAAGTGGTTGAGATTGTGGAGATTGAGGACAGGTCTCCAGCTTCTCTTCTTTTTTGGGGACTAGGAAGTACATTTCCTGGTGCTGAAGAAGTACCCGTGGACCTCATGGTGGGAGGTGCACTGTGTATCGATTCAGGCCAATGTATGGCAAGATCCCTCAGCCTGGGTCCAACTGTGGCCTCACGACCTACTCCATGAGATGCTTTTTAAGTCGAAGTTCCCACTCCTCCCGGATATGGCTAGTGAAAGAGCATCGTGTGCCTCCCTGAAACAGAACGAGCAGTGCTGATCGTCGTCACTGACAGAGAAGGAACAGGGGTAGGATACAGGTACAGGGGAAGAGGTTTCCCCAAGCCAGGGACTATATCTAACTAGAAATCTTTGCTAAAAACAATTAAAATAAGTTAATTACAAATAACTATATACAAAATGCACTAAAGGCAATCTTTGAAATATTTACAGATCGAAGAAATCAAAGGAGATCTCTGGACACTGAGGTTTGGACCCAGGCCATGCAGCAGTAAGAAGGAATTGGAGAGGCAGCCAGTCCGTTTCACCCTTTTATGCCCGCAGTTGGAAACACAAGGCGGAAAAGGGTATACACAAATATAAATGGATGCTGCTTGCAAGAATTCTGACTCCAGGTGCATGGAGTTCATGCATATCCAGAATGGAATATGCATAGGACCAGCACTGGAAGAAGAATAATTCTTACTAACCTGGTAAGTACTTGAAGATCTATGAATTAAAAGCGCTACGTACAAGCTAAGTATTATAATTACAGGTACTTGTTTGCTAAAGATAGAGATACACAGCAGCACTGGCCAATCAAACAGCTAGCAGTGTCGCTGACATTATGAAGGGCCATGACTAAAACGCAGAGTATATCCTACTAGATTTTGCCTCTTTTTTTATCTGTATGTGTTTGATATTTAAATTCATATAGAATATTTGACGCCTACCAAGGTTATATAGTGAAACCAAAGGTTTTCTAAGGTTATATAGTGAAACCAAAAACCCACCCAAGCTGTTGTTACATTCCTAAACTTTCAATAGCTTTTACAAAACTGCTAGAACAATGTCGGATAAATTGGAGATTTTTAGTAGCATAAAGTGAGTATTTGATTTCATTACCACTTCCATGCAACAACTATGGTTGTACCATTACTCGCCCCACATGTGAAAAAAGGCTGAAAAATAATTAGCAGACCATGGGTACAGAGATTATTCACAGAACATTTAGACACCAACACACAATTTACACAGAGCATTAGTAGCCACAAAGCAGAACAAGCAAACTAGAGAAGCCAACAGATGAAACTAAAAATCACACTCTCCTAGCATAAGCTGAGCGCAGCTTTGAGGTCTTACCCCTGCTAGGCATCAATAGGCGCTTCTTCACGTTCCCTGACAGAGCACAAGTGAACAAAAAAGAGAAAAAACACCAAATCAGCAATCTGAACAGTAGCATTTTTTTAAAAGTTAAATATTGAAAACAAACAGTAAGATGTCCATTGCTGCTTGTGTAATTTGCCTTCAATATAAATGCTAATTTAATCTAAGAATAAATTTGAACGGGGAAAAAACCCAGTGTGGCTGCATTGAAATGCAATGGCAAGATAAATTTACTGTGCTGTTTGAAAGCCCTGAGGATGGAGCAGAATGGGAGAGAATCTGGTCTCACTCCCAAAGGAGGTCTTTGAAGGCATGACAGCCAGTTTTGCTCACTTCTGAGAAAGCTGGAAGCTACTACGTTTTTCTCCTCACCCTGTCACAATCACTGTTATGTCCCACACTGCAGCTGCTCCTTCTTTTAATTGAGCCGTTCCCCACCTTCCTATTCCTGTTAAGGCCATTTGAATAGGCCCTCTCATTCTTGACTGAGGAGCCAGTGGCACTTTCCCTGCTTTGCGATCCTCAGCTGATGGCTAGCTCTTCAGGACAGAGCCCTGGACTCCATGCCAGGAGAACCATACCTCCATCTCCTGCTGCAAGCACATGCTGCCTTAACCCATGCTATTTACTGGGGCGAAGGAAGGGGTGAGTCCCATCAATAATGAGAGGAGACTCTCAATGAGAGGGCCAATAAGGGAAGGAGGAGTAAATTCTTAATGAAAGAGGAAAAACTATCTGGGAAATTTTCTGTAGTAATTCCCGTGGTAGTAATAGTAATAAAAAAAGAGGTCTGTCTTATTCTCTCATGTTTGCCAGGCTGAGATCAGCCTGACATCAAGACATGGTCAAAGTAGGCAGAGTTCCACTAGCCTAGCAGCTCTGTATAAATGTACTACTCAGATCATACACATCCATGCCTGCACAAGCAAAATCAAATCAGTCTTTGCAAGAAGAGAAAAATAAATAATAACATTTCTCGTTCAAAACTATGAAGGTCCCTAAAATTAAAAAAAAAAAAAAAAAAAAAAAGCAATCTCCCATGGAATAAGGACTGATGCTGTCCATCTGGCCATACTCTTTACAAAATACTGAAATGGAAATAATTAACAGGTATACTTTGCTTGAAGACACAAGAAACACCCGACAGATGACAATGTACATGTACTAGAAAATATTTACCATCCATCCCATTGTGTTGTTCATAGCTTCTTTTTCCCAGGATAGTTGGGGATCCATTGTTTATGACAGGTGTGAACTTGGCAGGAGTCAGATTGTTAAGAGAACTGGACAAACTCTTTACAGGGTCTGGTTTCGGAGGACATGGATGAGATTCTGTTATAAAAACAGCAATGTGTTATTTTTATCAGTAGATACACGGAGACTATAAACCCAAACACAAAGGGAAAAGTTCAGAGATAATGTAAGGCACACCCCTCTTATGCTAACAGAAAGCCTTACATTCAAACTGCCTTATACTGACTTACGCCTACTCTATTGATATGCAGAGGAATCTATATTAGTGAAAAGAGGTCTGAACACAAATTGCCACATATATCACTTCTGAATTTGGCCCCAAGTCTAACAGAAGATTGCTACTTATATAAAGCACTGTAAATATACTGATGAATTCAACTTCATTAAGGATGCTTAACTTGTGCTGTAATATTCACTGCAATATAATCCTAAAATAGGTGCTAAAAGGCTGTTTTGTATCCTTTTCTAAAACTATGTTTTCCACTAATTCTGGATAATTTCTAGGCTGCTCTATATTAGAAGCCATCTTCAAGAAGTCATGCAACACCCACAGGCTACCCGGAAGTTATAACTTTGCCAATTTCATCAGTATTCTATAAATGCAGTTCCTAAACTGGCCAAGCCATTGACGACTTAAAACAAAACTATCAAGAACATGCACAGAATTTAAATCTAACCTTTTGGCTGAGGCAGAGATCAGGCATGGCATGCCAAAGGAAAAGATGTTGAGAAAGTTACAAGCAACTGAAAACAGGGGTTTAAAATGAGTTGCTCTTTCTCAGTCCTAACTATGGATTCACAGCTTTGACTCTGTAATAGCAAGTAGCAGCACAACACTCCTGAAGATAGTTACATCAAAAGGAGAATGGCTCTGTTTTCCTGTCTAAGAGCCACACTGAAATCTGTCACACCACTGAAGCATTTGCTTTCAGATGAAACGTTAAAAACCAAGGTCCTATCCTGTGCGAGCATTAAAGATCCTATGGTACTCTTCATAAAGAGTGGGCTTTTTTCCTAGGATTCCATAGCAAAATTTCCTCTCCCTTTAGTGGCTACATTTTGGTTGTGCTGCATGTATACAGTTTGGGGAGTTTTTTGGGATATTTATTATTACAGAATATTTTCATTGTTAAGTTCTGTATCTAGAACAAAAGCAGACAAACCATATTTAATGAACATTAACGCAATATACGCACAGAAGCTTATGTTTTATAAATAAAAATACTCAAAGAAACAAAACTGACTTCACAACCTCCTATCAAAGTTAACAGATAATTAGTTTAATTGTTGAAATGGGAGCCTTAAAGTAACTCCCAAATCAACTCTATGGAATTTAGAAACAGTTGAACAGTGCTCTAGATACCAAAGCTAGTCTCCAGAGGGAAAATGCCACTTCCCCATCCATATCACTCAGGAAGACTAGACAAGTGGCTAGAGGATGCTTTTCATGTTAGAGCGCTGTTCTGGGTGCTCATTTAAGGCTCCCAAATTCAGTATTTAAACTAACCAGGCTAGTTGGAAAAAGGCTGTGCAGCATCTGTTGGAGGAGGAGGCGGCCAGGAACAAGCATGACAGTTTTACAACTGCCCCGGGACCCCACCCGCGCCACCTGCCAGGCCCTCAGGAGCAGTTTGTGGCCTCTGGTCCCTTTAAACTCAATGGTTATTTAATTAAAAAATTGGGAGCCTTAAATTTCAACTTCAACAGAAAGTGAGTTGAGAGTGGCTGTCTGGCCACAAACTGCAGTGGAGAGAGAGCTAGGTCATAGGACACTAGAGAGGGTAGCAGGGCCAAGGAGTTCAGTTACCTACAAAAACAAACATTAAGTAATGAGAGAAGAGAAGGAAGTTAAAACAACTAATTTAAAAATATCTACATCAAAAATATTACAAGCAGGGCTTCTGTAGCCTTTCCCCCTATTATTTCTCTTATCCTTATATTTTGAATAGTAGAAGGGTGCAATACATTAAGTACCATAATTTTTTTAAATACAAAAGGAACAGTTAATAAGCCACTCTGACGCCAGCACGGGCTGTGATAAAGCATAAGGCCTTCACCCTTCTGCCCCACAACACACTCAATGCATGCACCAACAGCCAATTAATGAACAAAATATCATGGCTTACTGCAATATTAATTTGACAGCATTCCCAGATATGGGATCTTTCTTTAAGGCAATGTATGGTTCAGGTGTGATTATATGATAATTTGCAGAGAGCAATATATTTATACGAAACAGCAACAGATCAAATTAAGCACAATTTCACTTCTATTTACTGAAAAACTTGGATGGATGGGTCATTACATAAAGTAAAACTATTTCCCCATGTTTATTTCACCCCCGCCCCGTTCAGACGTTCTTGTCAACTGCAGGAAATGGCCCACCTTGATTATCACTACAAAAGTGATTTTTTACCCCCGGCTCTCCTGCTGGTAATAGCTCACCTTACCTGATCACTCTCGTTACAGTATGTATGGTAACACCCATTGTTTCATGTTCTCTGTGTATATAAATCTCCCCACTGTATTACCCACTGAATGCATCCAATGAAGTGAGCTGTAGCTCACGAAAGCTTATGCTCAAATAAATTTGTTAGTCTCTAAGGTGCCACAAGTACTCCTTTTCTTTTTACTTGGATAAAGGTTGCTAATAAAATAGCCATTTGTTTCAAAGATCCCAAAGCACTTTTCACATTGCAAACTATACACACCTGAAATCATGCCATCCACTCTTAAGGAAGACTGTGATGGATGTTTAACAGCACAAAACAATGCTAAACTATTTAGGACAGGAGGAGAAGAATGCTGTATCCAAACAAAACCGCAGAAGGAATTTTTGGACAGGACACGAATTAATTCCCCTACTTTTGTAAAAGAGGGAAGCAGTCTGGGGTTTTGTTTGACTGCTTTAAAATGGTCATAAGTGATCCAGACCTTCCTTTTTTGTGCAGTCTGAAAGACAGAACCTCCAGCAGCACAATAGATACTAACTTCACCCTGGGGTCATGATTCAAACTCACTTGGGAGGAATAGGACTACCTACTGAACCACCTCTGGCACCTACATGTTTTGTTGAGATCAGTAGTTGCATGCAAGAACTAACAATCTAGTAATTATTTTGGGGAAGTTCTGTGGCCTGTGTTATGCACGAGGTCTGACTAGATGATCACAATGGTCCCTGCTGGCCTTGAAATCTATTAATCTTTCACTGACCATAATTTCTCGAGTTAAACCTCTTCCACTACAGAAACTTTACCCTCAAAGGCATGAAAGGTCAAGCAAGCAAATACCAACTCATTTTCTGTTAAACTCTGATGACATCCTTATCAGACGTTTGCCTACTGTGTAGTGATTATGATGCTAAGGAGAGGCCCACAGCAGAGCTGCAGTCTCCTTCTATAACTCCTGCATAGCACTTATTATCAGAACTTCATAGAAAAAGTTCTGTACCCTTTGGCCTTTTAGACTTGAGAAGAAGCTGCACAGTGGATCCCATTGTAGGAGTTACATTAAGACTGCACCAGAATGGGATTGTGGACCAGCCAACTGCATCCTGCCGATCACATTTATGGATTGTAAGCAGAAGGCCTCTCACTCAGACACCAGAGGCTGCCTCATGACTGCTAAAGAGGAGTTTCACATATGGTAGGGTGGATAGTAGGCTGCTGAGCCACCACACCTCTACGTAGTGTGAAGAGGAGAAAGGCTGTAGGGGCCATTTTGAACTTTCCTCTGTTCCAGAGGAGGAAACAATAGTCTATAAACTGAACATTTCAGGACCTTACCAAAGGTTATTGCCTTATTTCCTGAGATGGGCAAAATTTGGGGGGGGGGGGGGGGGGATCCTATTTTTCCAGATCACTTTACCCAGCCCTGGTTTCTAGATCCAGAACAATGAAAATATGCAAACAGTTAGGCGAATTAGCCTGTAGCATATTTACCTAAATACCGGAGTACTGCTTCTAAAGGCTTTCGAACAACTTGCTTTAACAACAATGGATTTTCTGATGCTTCTGGTAAGCGTGCTGTGCCTGTGAAGACAATATTGGGATTGGGGAAAACATTTATTTTCTTATTAAAAATGAATGGAGTCTTAGACATTAACTTAGTCTAAAACAACTTTTCTCTGGAGCGCTTTTTAGTAAAAAAGGATGTTTACAGAGTAGGTGCATGTTTTGGCAAGTGTACACACAGGCAAAGGAATGTGCTACATACTGGCAAACAAGTGACATGTAAAAAAAAGCTGAGCAATTTCAAATGTGTTATTTGATAATAGTGTGACGAGTTAGGCTATTTCTGTAAAGGAAATAAGTAACAGCAGGTCATCTGTGCTTAGCCACAGTACCCTTGAAAGATCCAACTCAAGGCTTTCCCAAAGGAATTAATCTCAAATTCTGGTTTCCCAATTTCATAGTAAGTAGCTGGATGTCTGGATAAATACTCACATTCTGCTTTGATTGCTGCACTGTTGATAGGCAGGTGGGGATGTCTTGCTGCATGCCAAGGACGCAAGATCTCTCTACACAAGCGTCTGGCAATCCTTGTCAGTTTTGTTGTATGCAGATAGAAGGCTTGTCGTGTCTTCATGGCAAATTTGGGGCTCCCACTGTTTCGCACTGGCACACCATGAAGACTCTGGGAAAAGGGAAAAAGCACAAGCACTTTTATTGTTCATAACTGATTTTTATTAGAAATTTACAGAAAACCAGAAACCAGCATCAGTAAACACCACATACATAGTCCATTCTACAAGTCATTTCCACCTACACCCTTGGAGTTGATACACACTGAAGGAAAGCCACAGAGATAGAGCTAAAGACAAGAGTGGGAGGCAGAGATTAGGAGGGAAGACTCAACAAGCTAAGAACATAACACAACCCTCCACTCCTTCTCCCATCTTCACTGCTGTGGCTCTTCGCTAGCCACTATTCATTTTTGAAAACGTTGGCCCTATACTTTAACGTGGACCAATTTAAGCATTCAATATCTTAGAAAGTTGGCATTGGGCTAAGGTGTACATACTTAACTACACATGGACAAAGATGATGTACCAATTATTGCACAGGCCAGATCCTTACCATGTCATATAAAAGCCAAGTTCTGACTAATAATTCTGTTGGTTTAGACTTTTAAACAGTTGTACAGTAGAACCTCAGAGCTATGGACACCTCAAGAATGGAGGCTGTTTGTAACTCTGAACAAAACATTATGGTTGTTTTCAAAAGTTTACAACTGAACATTGACCTAATACAACTTTGAAACTTTACTATGCAGAAAATAAAACGCTGCTTTTAACCATCTTAATTTAAATGAAACAAGCACAGAAACAGTTTCCTTACCTTGTCTGTCTTTTTTTAAACATTCCCTTTTTTAGTAGTTTATATTTAACACAGTACTGTACTGTATTTGCTTTTTTTTGGTCTCTGCTGCTACCTGATTGCATACTTCCGGTTCCAAATGAAGCATGTGGTTGACCAGTCAGTTTGTAACTGGTGTTCATAACTCTGAGATTCTACTGTATATTTTTTGATGTGGTTGTGTGTGGCAGGAATAAGGGATACTTTTTCCATTACTGTTCATTGGAATGAGCATTGGTTCCCTAACCTGAAGTACTGAGCCGCCTGCAATGGATGTACATACCATAATATTTTACACTGGATACACATACCATATTATTGCGGTTTGGTCCTGGTCTCTCTCCATCTAATCGCGTTGGCATTTTCAAGCCACCATATTTCTTCCAGTAAGTCCAACAGGATGCACAGAGACGACACTGCATGTTAGGGGGACCCCAAGAATACCACTGGTAAGACTGTGTGGCTAGGGATAATAAAGGTGGAAATATATATATTCTTAAACAGAATTGATTTTCAAAGTTTATAGCCTTTACAACCATCTTTAAAATCTCAAAGGAGAAAAAGACCTTTCAGCTTCACAAGGTAACAAAACTAGATCATAAGCTTGCTGTATCAGAAATGAGGCAAATTTCATCATCATTAAATGTTTTATAATGGCATTCTGCAGTGTTGTTATAGCCATGGTGATCCCAGAATATTAGAAAGACAAGGTAGCAAGGTAATTTTTTTTTACTGGACCGACTTCTGTTGGTGAGAGAGAGAGAGAGAGAAGCTTTCAAGCTACACAGAAGAAAAGCTCTGTATAAATTCAGAAGCTTGTTTCTCTCAGCAACAGAAGTTGGTCCAATAAAAGATATTACCTCCCCCACCTTGTCTCTTATAATTACGTTAGCTCAAGTAGTTATACTCTTCAGTATATCATTTGAAACAGTAAAATGAGTAAGTCATTAGGATGTGGAAATTTCCTGGTAATGCTTTTGAGATATTTTATGCTGTAACTCCGAAGGGGGCACTGTAACTTTTCCCCCTCTATTTTAGAAATCCCCTCCCCAACTTTACTTAGGGAAGAGAAAGAGTCAGTCATTTTGACTCTCCATACAGTCCTATGTTTTAGCACATCTAAAAGGCTCTCCATAAAAGACAGGGAAGCCTATTAGGCTAAGACATATTAGCAGATGAGACCATAGTGAATATAAGGATGGAACCATGCTCTTTGGACTTTCCACTACCATTATAAAGCTGTGAAAACATCACCAAGGCCTCTCCAGTGAATTAAAGACTCGTCTTCACTCAGGAGCCATCTATTATTTCACAGGAAACATCAGCTCTTACAGTTATTTACAAAAAAAATCTACCCACTCTAAAAACTTAGAAACATTCACATGAAGAAAAACCCTGCCTATTTCACCCACACCCCACCCTGCATGCTAACTTATTAAAGCTTTACTTTAGTCTTAGTGCTAGAGTACTTCTGCTGCTCTTGCACAATTGCTACATTTGTAGATCACTTACTATAGCAGCTTTCACAGGCCCGTCCTGCTCCCGTGTTCTGTGCCTGTCCTCCTGTACCATTTACCACTCCTGGTTTGACATTATTTACATTGATCTGGTTGGGGTTTGGCTTGTTACTTAAAACACAAAGCAAAAAAAAAGGGGGGAAATTAATTGATTGTGACAAGTAACTTTCCTATGTGACAAAAAAATATGGCCCAGAAGATTAAAACTGAAGACTTGCATTTCTCACATGTTTATGAATTCCAAAACAACAAACGTTACTTACCAGTAATTAGAGTTCTCTGAATACATTTCCTCTGCAGATCATACTGTAGAAGTCTCATGCCATTTCTCAGGAGTCTCAGAACCACTTAAAAACAGTTAACCATTCTGGTCATGAGTACACCTTGATTACTGATCCAAAAACATTCTGATCTAGGTGACAAAAGGGCCATATCGACACACATCCCTCTGTTCCTCTCTGCCTGAACAATATTCTGCTTAAGCCTCTAAAGAAGTGAGGAAGGAGGGAAAGTCAAGGTGGATCTGCAAGGGCAATAGATTCAGAGAATTCCGTGGTAAAGTAGCCTCTCTTTCTCCTTCAGAAAATTGCCTCTTCAAATCCTGTCTCTCTGTAGTAGACGGGCAAGCTTGCAGGCAAGAGCTCAGAAGTACTAATTCAGACTCAAAGTTTGCCCTCCTGAAACAAGCACCTACTGCCACTACAGTATTAAAAAGAACTGCAGAGTAAAAGGTGTAAACTGAATCCTCAGATAACCCAAATGGGAATACCTTGCACAAACAGCAGTTTTCTCCATCTGATTCATAGGTATTTCCTGTGCAATTTCCTAAGAGAAATGTGAAAGGAAGCATCTTAAAAGGTCAAGAGCTCCATACCATCCCATTTAGCACAGAGATTATGGCGCTCCAAGCCAACATGTAGAATCAGATTCATTTACAGACCTTATTTTACCACTCCCTTCAACAAAACCACAACAGAATTAGACTTGTTCGGGTACCAGACTGGAACACAGGGGATCTGGGTTCAATTCCAAGACTTCCTGTGTGACTTTTGGCTAGTCATTTAGGGCTTTCATAAATAGTAGAAGACACTCTACTGGGATGCGATTTCTAAAGCACACTCATGTGCTGTGCATTAATGTGCCTGTGTAGACCATTGGGCTGCATACCTTTTTACAAAGCAGTACTGCTCTGTATGTGTATTCAGCATCTCATCTGCTGACTTCAGTGACACAGTTTACCACTTTTCACTAAGTGAAAGCCAACACAGCAGAAAGCCAGAGTCTATTCCTTCTGATGAAGCATCAACATAAAGAGTTAGTAAATTCCAATCAGTTATACCTGTATAAACCAATCAAAGGCAATGAGGTTGCATATGGAATTATTCTTGAGACAATGGGGTTGGGCAGGCATAAATAAGAAAGATTCTCTCGGCCAAATTATAAGACAAGTGGTGATACGAGGGAAAGAGAAAACTCCCCAATCGCTGTGTTTCCAGGGCTGTTAGAAAAAAGAATCTTTTTACTTGGAACTAATTACATGTGATTGGGAGTCACTGAGAGACAATGCCTACACACAATGCTTTTTTTTTTTTTTTTTTATTAACAGTTACATGCAGATTCTGCTACAGTGGCACACAAGGGCCATAAAGGCTCCACAAGTGACCAGGGGAGCCTTTTCCAAGAGCAGGAGAAACCTCAGACTGACCTGTTACATTCTCTTTTGTACAACATAGTGGGCTTACTGAGAGGAAGAAGTGTGGGCGAGGGGGAAGGTCTGTGTATTGCTGAGTTCTACAGACATTCTAGACTTCTCTGGTCTGCAGGGCTCCCCAGGCAAGGCAGAAAAAGAAGAATTAACAACAGGGACCTTCTTCAAATCTTGGTTCAATTGTTCTTTTCTTCAGCTGATGCACTTTCATGTCTCTAATGATTGGTTATTAATGGATTTGAAATGGTTCTGGGATTTGTAAGTCACGGCTTGACGCTCCAACCCTGGGAGACCCGCAAAGGCAATTTTGTGAAGGAGAAGAATGGAATATGGTACCTTCGCATGAGTCTGCATTTTGTTGATTGCTGCCATATTAAAAATTACCTCCAATTAGCTTCTGCTTCACCAAAAATTCATTTTGTGCAAATATAACTAGATTTAAAGGTAGCTGGGGTTCTCGAAAAGTATTATCTCTACAGAGTCGCACTACTGGCAGGCAGTATTGCCTAGTGGATAGAGTACTGGACTAGGGCAAAGAAACCTGGGTTTCTATTCCCAGCTCTGCCACCTGGCCTGCTGAGTGACCTTGGACAAGTCATTCACCTCTGTGCCTCGGTTTCCCCCTCTATAAAATGATATGATCCTTTCTAAAGCCCTTTTAGACCTTCTGATGAAAAGCACTATAAGAGCTTGGTGATATTATATCACTATTACTATTGTTGAATGCTATGCTGCACAGTTCCAGAAACCACATACAATTAACTAGGACGACACACCTTGATATATGCGTCCCACAGTGCTAAGATCACATTTAGAAAGGGAAACGATGGCCAAACTCCTTCACTCCTGGTTGTCTTGTGAAACTGACATACTGAAAAAACCTGGGGATGATCTGAATGTCTCTCTGAACTCCACTTACGGTAAATAACATAACTTTTTCTTCATAAGCATGCTACCTCAGGCATCTGAATAATGAAATCAATGGTGACTTAAGTACTCTACCTTAAGCACTTAACCCTTATATTTCTTCAAAGGCTGGTACAGTCTAATTAAGTTAACTTGTTAATCAATTTATTTGTTACTTAATGAAGATGAAGTCAGCAAAGTTCAAACCGCAAATAAGATGCACATTTTACACAGATTACCAACAAGTATGGTAAGCTTTCCCAACACTTGGAGGAGTCTTTAAATCATAACTGGGTGCCTTTCTAAAAGATCTGTGGTTGAATTGGAGTATGTGTACTAGATGCAAGAATCCTTGGGTGAAATTCTCTGGCCTCTGTTATGCAGGAAATCAGACCAGGTGATCATAATATAGCTGCTTCTGATCTATTAAAGTGACAAGATCCTTGTAAGAAGTGTTGGCTCCCAGCTTCCCTTAGATCATAAATTGACAAACAGCTCACAAAACATTGACATTTTTCCAATGTGTGATCGACCTTATGCACTTGGTTGATAGCACTAAATTAACATGGGAGCAGGACTGAAGTCTTACTTTTTGGAAAGGAGAAACTTGTGTGCCCAAGACATGTAGTAGCTAAAGATTAAACTGGTTTTATTGTTTAGAAGACTGAGTATAATACCACCACTGGAATGGTTTCAGTCATCCAGGTACGTACAACCAGATGTTCTGGTCCTGTCATGAGAAACGCATTTTGGAATAGAACATCGTGATAAAAGAGAATGGCACTTCTCCCCTTACTGCATGTAAAGATTTGTCAGGCCATTAATTTGTGTACCTGAAAACATGTGCCTAAAACTATTCTGTGCCCACTTGTGGAAAAAGAAAAAAAAAAGTCCAATGTTTGTTAAAGTATCCTTAGGTATTGGTAAGATCCTTCTCCACCAGCATTAAAAGTACAGATCACTATCGTTTAAACACAGCTACAAAAGAGGGATAGAATATAATCATGCATGGAAATTTTTCTAGTCTATACGGAGTCTCCAAATAGTCCTACCTAAATGGGAGGAAGAATGGTCTTGGGGCTAAGGCCATAAAATGATGAGTCAAGAGGCAGAGGGTCTATTTTCAACTATGCCACAAATAAATGTTACTTTTCCTGTGCTGTGACTATGGCTCTTCAAGAGGTGTCCCCTTATGGGTGCTCTGCTTCAAGTGTGCATGTACCTCTTGAGCCCTTGATCAGAGATTTCTAGCTCCAGCAGTTTGATGTGGAGATTGGTTTTGAGGGCTGTCCATCTGCCTTGAACCACGAGGGTGTTGAGGTGGGACCCGCATGCTAACAGCGAAGCATCAGGGTTAGTCACTGTTAGGGTTGGGGGACAGTAAGGGATATTCGCACAAATGCTGTGTTGCTTCTTCCACCAGTCTAGGGAGTTCTGTAAGTGCAAGGGGACTGTCACCTGCCTATCCAAAGTGTCCCTGTCCAAAGTGACCCTGTTCAGAGACTAGATAGCTTTTAGCCAACCTTGGAAGCAGCAGAGGTGTAGCCTTGTGTGACTGATCACAAAGATAAAAGCTGCCACACAGCCCAAGAGTTGAAGACAGTACTTTATTGTGATCAGAGGGCTTCCCTGAATTGTCCCTACCAGACCAGACAAGATCACAAATCTGTCCAAAGGGAGGTACGAGTATACCCCTATAAACTGTATCCTTTGTACATGTACCAGCATGGATTTCTTTACATTCAACTGTAGGCCCAACTCTTGGAACAGAGCAAGGGTCATCTGGGTGGCGATAACACTGCCTCAAAGGTGTTGCTCTTGAGTAGCCAGTCGTGGAAGTACAGGAAGACCAGTATCACTTCCTGCCTAAGGTAAGCTGCCACTACTACTAGAACCTTTGAACACACTCTTGGAGCTGAGGATAGGCCGAAGTGGAGCACTCAAAACTGAAAATGATCTTGGTCTATGATGAATCGTTGACATTTCCTGTGTGATGGGAGTATAGTTATTTGAAAGTAGGCATCTTGTAGGTTGAGGGACAAAAGCCAAACCCCATTCTCTAGTAAAGGAATTAAAGTTGCTAGAGTCACCATCCTGAACTTTTGAGGCTTTACAAATTTGTTTATCAGTCTCAGATCCAAGGTCAACCTCCAACCTCTGTCCTCCTTTGGCCCTAGGAAATATTTTGAGTAGAAGCCCCTGACCCTGTGAGGGGAAGGGATTGGTTCTATCATTCCTAGTCGTAGGAGAAAGTCTACTTCTTTCCTCAGTATAAACTTGTGAGGGGGGTCCCTGAAGAGGGATGAAGAAGGCGGGTGAAAGGGAGGAGTGACACACTGGATAGTATATCCCAATATTATGACCTTCAAGAACCATCAGTCCATGGTGATTCACTCCCAAACCTGGTCAGAATGGACAAGACAGTCCCCAAAGGCAGGGAGGTGGACTAGAGCGCACAAACTGTAAATCCAGAGTTGTCGTCATCCAACCCTAGACCAATCCATCAAAACTGTTGTTTAGAGGACGCCTGGGTGATCTTGGAGGGCGGCTGAGCAGCCCTCTTCCTCTGAAACTTGTCTCTCTTTCTGGGAGGTTCTGGGGGTTTATGGTACTCCCAAGAACTGAGAAGGGCATGACCTCTGGGCAGCCTGAGACCTACTAAAACTTTTCTTGCTTGTAGGTGTGTAAATGCCCAAGGAATGTACGGTAGCCCCAGAGCCCTTCAACATGTGCAGGGAATCATTTGTGTCTCCAAGAAAAGCTTATGACCATCAAAAGGAGGTCCTCTACTGTGTTCTGAACCTCTTTAGAAACTCCAAAAGTTGGAGCCATGATACCCGATGCATAACTACTGCTACAGAGATGGATGTGGCAGCACTATCTGCAGCAACTAGAGACGCTCAGAGAGCTGTTCTGGCCAACAGCTGACCCTCGGCAACGACAGACTGGAACTGCTCCCTGCAGATATGTGGCAGCTGCTCAATAAAAGCCCTGTGCTTGTTGTAATTAGTAAAAGTTGTATGTTGGCCATACTGGGTATGGTATCTTGCAATCCAGAACTTCTGCAACCCTGCCGAGTAAGACTTTTGTCCAAAGAAATCCAGCCACCTTCGATCCTTGTTAAATGGGGTAGGTCTCAAAAAAATGCTGCCTACCCCTTTCATTCACCACATCCACTACTAGGAAGTTAGGTGGGGATGGGAAAATAAAAAGTTAGAATCCTTAAGGGGCACATCATACTTAACAATCCTTTTACACCTTAATGGAATAGTGGCAGGCATTTGCCAGATCGTCTTCGCCAGATCCAGAAGAGCCTCATTAATAGGTAGCATCACTCTGGAGAGTGTTGCAGAGTGCAAAATATCTAGCAGCTCTTGTTGTTGATCTTTGGCCTCCTCCAGAGGAATCTGCAAGGTGTCTACTTCCATTCTAAGGAAATCCTGAGACTGCCTAAAGTCGACAGCCATAGAATGTGGTGGAGGCTTCTAGCAAGCAGAGGCTAGGGACACCATCCCTGCCCATCCTGGCTAATAAACATTGATGGACCTATCTTCCATGAATGTATCTAATTATTTTTGAACGCTGTTAGGGTCTTGTCCTTCAAAACATCCTCTGGCAGGGAGTTCCACAGGTTGACTGTGCATTGTGAGAAAAAATACTTCCTTTTGTATTTTGTACTTCCTGCTGCCTATTAATTTCACTTGGTGAGCCATAGTCCTTGTGTTATGAGAAGTAAATAACACTTCCTTATTTACTTTCTCCATACCAGTCATGATTTTATAGCCCTCTATCATATCCCCCCATTAGTCGTTTCTTTTCCAAGATGAAAATTCCCAGTCTTCTTAATCGCTCCTCAAATGGATACCCCTAATCATTTTTGTCACCCTTTTCTGAACCTTTTCTAATTCCAATATATCTTTTTTGAGATGGGACGACCACATCTGCACGCAGTATTCAAGATGTGGGCATACCAGGGATTTATAGAGAGGCAATATGATATTGTCTGTCTTATTATCTATCCCTTTCTTAACAATTCCCAACATGCTGTTCACCGTTTTTGGCTGCCACTGCACATTGAGTGGATGTTTTCAGAGAGCTATATCCCCAATACCTCTTTCTTGAGTGGTAACAGCACATTTAGACTCCATCGTTTTACATGTATAATTGGGATTATGTTTTCCAATGTGCATTACTTTGCATTTATCAACATTGAATTTCATCTGCCACTTTGTTGCCCAGTTAACCAGTTTTGAGAGATCCTTTAGTACAAGGGTGGGCAAACTATAGCCCGGGGGACACATCCAGCCCTCGAGCTCTTGCCAGGGAGTGGGGTCTGGGGCTTGCCCTGCTCCGCGCATGCTGTGGCTCCGTGCAGCTCCTGGAAGCAGCGACATGCCCCGCCCCCCCCGGCCCTACGCATACGGGCAGCCAGGGGATTCTGCATGCTGCCCCCATCCCAAGCGCCACCCCCGCAGCTCCCCATTGACCAGGAACTGCGGCCAACAGGAGCTGTGGGGTGGCGCTTGCGGACGGGGCAGCATGCAGAGCCGCCTGGCTACGCCTCTCCATTGGAGACAGAGGGGGAGACATACCGCTGCTTCTGGGAGCTGCTTGAAGTGAGCACCACCCAGAGCCTGCACCCCTGACCCCACCCTCCACCCCAACCCCCTGCCCTAGTCCAGAGGCCCCTCCCACACCCTGAACTCCTCATTTCTGGCTCCAACCCAGAGCCCTCACCCCCTCCCGCACCCTAACCCCCAATTTCGTGAGCATTCATGGCCCGCCATAAAATTTTCATACCCAGATGTGGCCCTTGGGCCAAAAAGTTTGCCTACCCCTGCTTTAGTAACTCCTTGCAGCATGCTTGGAACTTAACTATCTTGAGTAGTTTTGTATCATCTGCAAATGTTGCCACTTTACTATTTACTCCTTTTTCCAGATAATTTATGAATATGTTGAATAGGACGGGTCCCAGTGTAGACTCCTGGGGGACCCGACTATTTACCACTCTCCATTCTGAAAACTGACCATTTATACCTACCTTTTGTTTCGTATCCATGAGAGGACCTTCCCTCTTGATCCCATGACAGCTTACTTTGCTTAAGAGCCTTAGATGAGGGACCTTGTCAAAGGCTTTCTGAAAATCTAAGTACACTATAACCACTAGATCCCCCTTGTCCACATGCTTGTTGACGCCCTCAAAGAATTCTAGTAGATTGGTGAGGCATGATTTCCCTTTAAAAAACCATGTTGACTCTTCCCCAACAAATTATGTTCATCTATCTGACAATTTTGTTCTTTACTATAGTTTCAACCAGTTTGCTCAGTACTGAACTCAGGCCTACCGGCCTGTAATTGCCATAATCACCTTCAGAGCCCTTTTTAAAAATTGGTGTCACATTAGCTATCCTCCAGTCATTTAGTACAGAAGCTGATTTAAATGATAGGTTAAAGACTACAGTTAGTAGTTCTGCAATTTCACATTTGAGTTCCTTCAGAACTCTTGGGTGAATACCATCTGGTCCTGGTGACTTATTACTGTTGGGTTTATAAATTTGTTCCAAAACCTCCTCTAATGACATCTCAATCTGGGACAGTTCCTCAGATTTGCCACCTAAAAAGAATGGCTCAGGTTTGGGAATCTCCCTCACATCCTCAGCTGTGAAGACTGATGCAAATAATTCATTTAATTTCTCCATAATGGCCTTATTATCCTTGAGTGCTCCTTTAGCACCTTGATCGTCCAGTGGCCCCGCTGGTTGTTTAGCAGGCTTCCTGCTTCTGCTGAACTTTAAACAGTTTTTTGTTATTTTTTTTGCTATTACTATATCAATATCCTCATTTAATATGAAGCACTTTAGTTCACCCATTTTATTTAGACTTGGTTAGTTGTTCTTCAAATTCTTTTTTGGCCCTCCTAATTATATTTTTACATATAATTTGCCGGAGTTTATGCTCCTTTCTATTTTCCTCACTAGGATTTAACTTTCACTTTTTAAAGGATGCCTTTTTGCTTTTCACTGCTTCTTTTACTCCGTTGTTTAGCCACAGTGGCACCTTTTTGGTTCTCTTACTATGTATTTTAATTGGGGTTATACATTTAAGTTGAGCTTCTATTATGGTGTCTTTAAAAAGTTTCTGTGCAGCTTGCAGAGATTTCACTTTTGGCACTGTAACTCTTAATTTCTGTTTAACTAAACTTCCTCATTTTTGTGTAGTCCCCCCTTTCTGAAATTAAATGCTACAGCGTTGGGCTGCTGTGGTGTCTTCCTTGCCATAGGGATGTTACATTTAATTACATCACAGTCACTATTACCAAGGGGTCCAACTATATTCATATCTTGGACCAGAGCCTGTGCTAAATTAAGGACTAAATCAAGAATTGCCTCTCCTCTTGTGGGTTCCAGGACTAGCTGCTCCAAGAAGAAGTCATTTAAAGGCATCAAGAAACTTGATTTCTGCATCCCATCCTGAGGTGACATGTTCCCAGCCAATATGGGGAAGTTGACATCTCCCATTATTATTACTGAACTTTTTATTTTTTATAACCTCTCTAATCTCCCTGAGCATTTCAGTCACTATCACCACCCTGGTCAGGTGGTCGGTAATATATCCCTATTTCTATATTCTTATGATTAGAGCACAGAATTACAATCCATAGAGATTCCATGATATAGTTTGGTTCATTTAAGATCTTTACTTCATTTGATTCTACACTTTTTTTCACACATAGTCCCACTCTCCCATCAGCACGACCTGTTCTGTCCTTCCAATATATTTTGTACCCTGGTATTACTGTGTTCCATTGATTATTCTCATTCCACCAAGTTTCTGTGATGCCTATTATATCAATATCCTCATTTAATATGAGGCACTCTAGTTCACCCATATTATTTAGACTTCTAGCATTTGTATATAAGCACTTAAAAACTTGCCACTTTTTAGCTGTCTGCCATTACATGATGTAATTGAATGGGACTTTTTTTCATTTCACTATTTTTCATCAGATCCTAAGGGATCTCCCCTAAACGATGCCTCTGTCCAAACCACGTGCTCCCCTGCACCAGTCAGCTTTCCCCCAGCCCTTAGTTTAAAAACTGCTCCATGACCTCATTAATTTTAAGTGCTAGCAATCTGGTTCCACTTTGGTTTCACTGGAGCCCATCCTTCCTATATAGGCTCCCCCTTTCCCAAAAGTGTCCCCAGTTCCTAATAAACCTAAACCCCTCCTCCCTACACCATCGTCTCATCCCCACATTGAGGTTCTGGCTATCTAACTGGCCCTGCAAGTGGAACTGGAAGTATTTCAGAGAATGCTACGATGGAGGTCCTGGACTTCAGTCTCTTACCTAGCAGCCTAAATTTGGCCTCCAGGACCTGTCTCCTATCCCTCCCTATGTCATTGGTACCTATAGGTGCTTACTCTGTGGGTGCTACAGGGCTGAAGCACCCAGGGGAAAAAAATTAGTGGATGCTTAGCACCCACCGCCAATAGTGCTGCAGCCTCACCCACACCAAACAGCTGGTAGAGGGCTGTGTTAATTGCCTATGAACTGTTCAACTTTTGTAGCCTCTGGGCTTGATGCAGCAGAGGCTGACCTCTGGCCCCTCCTCCAGCAGCCTCAGGTAACTGCTCCACTGCTCCAGCCAGGGTTAGAGGTGGGTGACGGGGGAGAGCGCAGGTCTCCCTCTGCTCTGTAGAAGACCAGCCTGGTCAGCAGCAATAAGACCCTGCTCACCTGGGTCACCCCGCCTCCCACCTAAATCTCCTGGGCAAGATCCAGCTCCCAGCGGGCTCCAAATGCAGGCAGCACTAGATAAGTCCTGTTTCAGGCAGAGGGAGCCTGGCAGGAGTGGGGCGGGGAGCTGCGCTGCCATGTCAGAAGATGGAGAGGGAAGTCCACCATGGGTGCAGTTTGGGGGTGTGGGACATGCAGAGTCACTGCCACTGCCTTCCCCCATTTCTACCGAACGTCTCTGCGTAGGTGGGGAAGCATCTGCCCTCAGGGGTGCCATTTAGGGAAAGAAGTGGGGGGGACCGTCCTGGCTCCCCAGGATAGTACAAATGTGGGAGAAAATTTGTGTCTCATCCCTCCCTTGTACCCATGCATCCTTTATCCAAAATACTCATTTGGCACTGAAGTTAAATAGGTGTTAAAATCAGACAAAACCAAGATTTTCAAAATATGATTTAAAATCCCTTCCCCTCTCCATTGCTCAATTTACTGTCTCTTGAGGTGTTATCATTTCACTAGTTCTCCTGTTATCATAGGCTTTGTCTGGACTAGCATTTGTCCTCCTGTTGTAATTGACTGCAAATGTTTGCATCTAGATTAGCATTTACAGTCACTTAACAAGCAATTGACAAAGTATCAGGATGTGTTTCAGAGGAACAGCCATGTTAGTCTGTATTTGCAAAAGGAAAAGGAGTACTTGTGGCACCTTAGAGACTAAGGTGCCACAAGTACTCCTTTTCTATCAGGATGTGGTGGCTCAGCTTCAGGCAAACCACAAAATAATGTGCACCAGAACAAACATTTGTGGAGAGCCTCAGTTATCAACACAATTAGCATGTACGACCAATTAGCTCAAATTGTAACAGGACCACCAACTCTAGTCTAAGCAAAGCCAAAGCATGAGTCCCCCAGGCTAGACAGGATCTGGAGGAAACATAAACCTGTCTTCCCTTGCCAAAACAAAAAACAAACATACAGACAAAACAAAAACCTAGACCCCGAATCTTCATGCCTTCTTTATACATCAGAAGAAAATCAAACAAAGGCACAGTCTCAAGTTATTGCCCCTTTACAGATCACCTTTAAAAATAAAATTATCCTTTACGTTCCTAGTTTCCCAAAGTCAGGGTAACTGCTGACTTTGTGCGGCTGAAAGACTGGATCTGGGTATGAAAATTTGTTCCTTTCCACCGCTGCATGTACACATAGAACAGAAAAAACAATGAGGAGTCCTTGTGGCACCTAGAGACTAACACATTTATTTGGGCATAAGCTTTCGTGGGCTATGCCCAAATAAATGTGTTAGTCTCTAAGGGCATGGTATACTTGCGAGTTAGAGCACATTAAAGCAGTCCCGGGTGCCCTAACTCATGACGCATCCACACTGGCAAAGCACGTAGAGCGCCCGTACTCTGCAGCTGGAGCGCTCCTGGTAATCCACTTCGATAAGAAGCATAACACTTGATGTGCCCCGGCTGGAGCGCCATGGCGCCAGTGTGGATGCTCTGGTCTATTCATGCGCTCTGATTGGCCTCCAGAAGTGTCCTGCTCTAGCCACTCTGGTCATCACTTTGAACTCTACCGCCCTGCCCTCAGGTGACCAACCGTCAGACCCACCCTTTACATTCTCTGGGAATTTTGAAAATCCCCTTCCTATTTGCTCAGCAAGGCTTTGGGTGCTCTCAGTGCATCTTTCCAGGTGACCATTCCTCCACACACCAGGCGATCCCTAGTATGGAGCAATGACGAGGTGCTGGACCTCATCAGTGGTTGGGGGGAGGAAGCTGTCCAGTCCCAGGTGCGCTCCATCCGTAGGAATTATGATACCTTCAGGAAGATATCAAGGGACATGATGGAAAGGGGCCATGACTGGGACGCACTGCAGTGCAGGATTAAAGTGACAGAGCTGCAGAATGTCTACCACAAAGCCCACGAGGCAAACTGCTGCTCTGGTGCTGCCTCTGCGACCTGCCGTTTCTACAAAGAGCTGGACACAATACTTGGGGGCGACCCCACCTCCACTCCGAGGACCACCATGGACACTTCAGAGCCCTGTTCAACAAGGCAGGAGGAGGAGGAGGAGGAAAGCGGGAGCGAGGATGCTGAGGAGGAGGAAGACACCCCAGCATCCCCAGATGCATGCAGCCAGGAGCTGTTCTCAAGTGAGGAGAAAGGTAGCCAGTTGCGGCGGCTGGTGCTTGGGGAAGGACAAACACCAGAGGTGATGCCTGGTAGGCGGCTTTTATTTTGGAAAGGAAGTTGTTCAGTGCAAGCTCTTGGGCCGAGGACGGTTAGGGCTGAACGAATGCCTCGATGCAGAATAGGGCGTTGATGTGCTCTCTCATATCGCGGCAATCGGCCTCAGTGCTCTCTTCGAAAGTCTCATGAAGAAGCTGGGCAATCCGCTTGCGCAGTTTCCTTGGCAGAGCTACTGTGCTCCTTGTCCCAGTCAGGCTAACACGTCCGTGCCACCGTGCCGTGATGGGCGGGGGACCATTGCTGCACATAGGCAAGCTGCATATGGGCCAGGGCAGAAGCCGCATTGTAGTAGAAGACCCTCCCTTGCTTTGCTTCCCAGGTCACCCTCAGAAGCAAGGTATCTTCCAGGACGAACTCCTGAGGAAAGTGTGGTGACAGTGTTCAGTATAGGGGCCCCCTGCAGCTGTTAGCTCTCCTCAAGGCACAGAACCCCAGAGGACAGTACGGCCATGAAACAATCAGTCCCCCACACCCCTGTACTTACTCACCATTTTGGGGCTCCTGTGGGTTGTGTGTGCTCGCTTTGGGATGGGCAAATTCTGATATTGTGTAGACTCTGCTTGTCTTTAAGTATAGGCGAATCGTTGCTCTGTCTTGTGTGAACAATGCTGCATTTCAAGTGTTGCATTTTGGTTTTACAGATGCAAACCTGAGATCTCAGCCGTCCTTGTTATCACCGGCCAAAAGACTCCAAAGAATTAGGAAGACGCCACATAGAAGCAAAGAGGACATGCTGCATGAAGTAAGGCAGCAGTCCCTTAATGAAAATCAAAAAGTGCAGGAGTGGCAGGAGAGTGAAAGAAGGGCCCGCCAGCAGAACGCGGATCACCGGCACCAAAGCACGGAGTGGCTGCTAAGCATCATGGAGCGCCAAGCGGACTCGATACAGGCACTCGTAGCCATGCAGGCGCAGCACTACCGCGTCTATCTCCCCTGCAGCCCTTGTCCCAAAACTCTTTCCCTTGTGCCCCCATGTCACCTCCAACCCACTTTCTCCCACATCCGGGTTCTTATTGCCACCAGCAGCCTCTAACACCTGTAGCTTCACCACCCAGCCCTGCAAACTATGACCCTTACCCACTGCACTCAACCCCCATCACCATGCATTTTATCCAGCCTGAAATGCAGCACTCCAGACAGGAAGGCCGAGTATGATAGCAGGACATACACAAATCTGTGATTGAACCGTTCCCCTCCCCATCCCCTTGCCCTTTCTGTTTCCCAAGCAGTTGTGTTTCTTTTCAATAAATGGATTTTTTGGCTTTGAAAACATTCTTTATTATTGTATTAAGTAAAACTTACCTTAGCCCAGGAAAGCAACAGGCCCTGCAAGTCAGTGTAGCTAACACAGATTCCTACTAACATTCTGCCGTCCCGTGCAGGGCAACTAACATTACTGTTGGCTTTCAGTCTCAAATTGCTCCCTCAAGGCATCCCTAATCCTTGCAGCCCCGCACTGGGCCCCTCTAATAGCCCTGCTCTCTGGCTGTTCAAATTCAGCCTCCAGGTGTTGAACCTCCGAGTTCCATGCCTCAGTGAATCTTTCACCCTTCCCTTCACAAATGTTATGGAGAATACAGCACGTGGCTATAACCATGGGGATGTTGTCATCGGCCAGGTCCAACTTCCCATACAGACAGCGCCAGCAGCCCTTTAAACAGCCAAAAGCACACTCCACGGTCATTCTTCACCAACTCAGCCTGTTGTTGAACCACTCCTTGCTGCTGTCAAGACTCCCTGTGTAGGTTTTCATGAGCCACAGCATTAAAGGGTAAGTGGGGTCTCCAAGGATCACAGGGGGCATTTCGACTTCCCCTACGGTGATCTTCTGGTCTGGGAAGAAAGTCCCAGCTTGCAGCTTCCTGAACAGGCCCGTGTTCTGAAAGATGCATGTGTCATGCATCTTTCCGGGCCAGCCTGCATTACTGTCAATGAAATGCCCATGGTGATCCACAAGCGCCTGGAGAGCCATAGAGAAACACCCCTTCCAATTAACGTACTTGGAGGCTAGGTGGGCTGGTGCCAGAATTGGAATATGCATGCCGTCTATCGCCCCTCTGCAGTTAGGGAAACCAATTTGTGCAAAGCCAGCCACAATGTCATGCACGTTACCAAAAGTCACGGTTCTTCTGAGCAGGATTTGATTAATGGCCCTGCAAACTTGCATCAACACGATTACAACTGTCGACTTTCCCACTCCAAACTGGTTAGCGACCGATCGGTAGCTGACTGGAGTTGCCAGCTTCCAGATTGCAATAGCCACATGCTTCTCCACCGGCAGGGCAGCTCTCAGTCTCGTGCTCTTGCGTCGCAGGGTGGGGGCGAACTCATCACACAGTCCCATGAAAGTGGCTTTTCTCATCCAAAAGTTCTGCAGCCACTGCTCCTCATCCCAGACTTGTGTGACAACGTGATCCCACCACTCAGTGCTTGTTTCCCTGAGCCCAAAAGCGGTGTTCCATGGGGGTGAGCATGTCCATGAATGCCACAAGCAATCTTGTGTCATACGAGTTATGCGAGTCGACATCATCATCATACTCCTCACTGTCAGTTTGTATCTTAAGGAGTAAGTAGACTGCCAAATGTGATATGCTGGCAAGACCCATCAGCATATTCCTCAGCACTTCGGGATCCATTCCCGCAGACTGAAAGGGAAGACAGAGCGTGCAGTACAAAAAACGTTGAAAGATGGCACCAAATGTGGACGGAAGCACAGGGACTGCTATGCGAAGCGATGCATCAAGGGAAGTTGGGACAGGGCCCAGAATGCCCCGCCCCCCTCCACCCCCTTCCCACAAGCCACAGGGCCAGAATGGGAAGAGGTGCTCTGTGGGATAGCTGCACATAATGCACCACTCCCAACACCACTGCAAGTGCCACACATGTGGCCATGCCAGTGCGCTTACAGCTGACAGTGTGAACACATTGCAACACTTTCCCTACTGCGCTCTCTGAGGGCTGGTTTAAACTCACAGCACTCTACATCTGCAAGTGTAGCCATGCCCTAAGGTGCCACAAGGGCTCCTCATTGTTTTTACTGATACACACTAACAAGGCTACCACTCTGAAACATACAGAATAGTTTGCTGGGAGCACAACAAAATAGGTTAGGGTAAGAGAAAGCTGATTAGGGGAAGAGGCCCTCAAAATAATCTTGTCTTGAAAATAGCCACAGAGTTTGCTTCAGGTGTTTCTCAGACACTGTCTCCCCGCAAGAAGAAGAAAATGTTAACAGTCCAATTGCTATAAAACTGACATGCATAGTGAGATTACCTTGAACAATGGAATTCCACAACTGAAACTGAGATAGAGGGGAACTCCCATTGAGATGAATGGGTCATTTCACACCACCCAGAGCTATTGTGTTAGACTTTCATCTCTTTGGAGCATCCTAATTCATCTGAGCACACCCCACTGAGGTGAATGGCCCATTCCACACATGAACAGTACTCCTGTACTGCAGAGGGCTGTGCAGAGCCACTTCCTTCCTCAAGTAGATACAAAGTCTGGGACTACCTGCTATTCCTCTTGCTGCCTCCAGCCTCCTCACAGCCCACCAATTACCATCCTCATTTCTTCCCATGGCTCTTCCAGCCCTACTAGGAGTATGGTGGGGCCAGGAGGAAGGCAGAGCTGGTAGCTAAAGTGGCAGATCATTCCCCTCCCACTGATGCCCTCCAATCATGCCCCCCTCATGAAAACCTCTTCCTCAAGGAACAAGGGACATTAACAGCCCCAAAACATGGTTAATGCAGGTCTTGTTTACACTACAGTGCCTTTGCCAGTATAGCTATGCCAGCTACGCCCCCTGCTTAGTACCTTCCTCAACTCAAGTAGTGTGTTTCAGATTCCTGCTGGCACTGCCAGTCTGATGTGCCTTCTCTGGCTTGTCAGATTGGTTTATATCTGCTGGCAAACCACAGCACCACTCAGACTGCTTCCCAGGCTGGTGAACCACCTGTGGTTCATTACTTTTATACCAGTGTAATTCCACTGGTTTCACTGAGGTTGCTCCTGATTTAAACTGCTACAAGTGAGGAGAGAATCAGGTATAGGCAACAACTCCATGCGCGCTCCAGAGCTCAAGAACCCATAGAAAAAAAAATAGCTGGGGTGATCAACACCCACCAGCCGCTGCCATTCAGCTGTTTGGCAGCTGGCATGGGGCCTCAGGGGAGAGGGCGGAGCGGGGGCAGGAAGAGAAGGAGTGAGGGTGGGGCCTTGAGGGAGGGGGTGGAGCAGGGACAGGAAGAGGCAGGGTGAGGGCAGGGCATCAAGGGAGGGGGTGGAGTGGGGCAGGGCCTTGGGGCAGAGTGGGGGTGGAGCACCCACTGGGAAAAATAAAAGTCAGCGCTTATGGGTACCTATGTGTATTAGACCACCGGCTCCTCCCCAGCACTACACAAGTCTATCTAGATGTCTCGAGAGATCCACAACCTTCACATCAGGCAAGCAAGTCATCATGCGGTTCTCCCGGTCCTCGCAAACCCAGCTATTTATTTATTTGGGCATAAGCTTTCATGAGCTTATGCCCAAATAAATGTTAGTTTCTAAGGTGCCACAAGTACTCCTCATTGTTTTTGCTGATACAGACGAACATGGCTACCACTCTGAAACCAGCTATGTTTCTAATGATCAAATCCCGCATAACTATTACCTGCCTCTTCCTAATAACTGGAGTCCGTTCCCCCCCCCGGAGAGGTATCCTCAGTGCAAGAGGATACTACATCATCATCTGGAAGGAGGGTCTCAACTATGGGATCGTCCTCCTCTGCTCCAGTTGGATGTTCTCCATCCCTGAGACTTTCATCCTTCTCAACAGCACAGAGACTGTCAGACCGGGAGTTGGACCATTCTACTATGTCCCGGAAAGTCTCGTCTACGTACCTCTTTGTCTCCCTTAGCTCCTCCAGTTCAGCAACTCTGGTCTCCAAAGCCTGTACATGGTCTGAGGGCCAGGAGCTTCCTGTACCGAATGCACACACAGGCAACCATACATGCTGCATTGGGTGCAATAAACTGGATAGCCTGTTGCTGGACTAGCCCCCACTCTGTCGCTGAACTTCTGCCTGCATTCTTTTTTTTTTTTAAACTCTGCAGCTTATTCCTTTGTTGATGTTTTGTCTTTATTGGGGGTGTTTCTGGCTTTAAGTGCATCTAGCCCCTCCTCCCACTCCCCCACTGAACTCCCTCACAAACTCCCCTGTTCGCTAGCTCCTCTGGTCACTTAAGAGTGGGCTTTTTAAAGACCTGGTCTTCCTGAGTAGCCTTGACCCCAGGTTAAGGGTTGATGGGTACTAAAGGGCTTAGGGTTCAAAGCCTCAACATGGTGCTGGATCTGTCCGAGGTGAGATGTACAGGGGAAGGAGGAGCATTCCATGGCTAACAGTCTGAGCTTTATCTCTATGTTGTTCCTAGCCCTGGACTTAAGGGCCAAACAGAAGGAACATTTCTGGGAAATGTGGAACTCCCCTGGACAACAGACACACTTGGAGTGCCCATCACCTAGCAACCTCACGGCAGCTTTCCATGCGGCCCATCCTGACAAACCCGGGCTGGCAGGGGGCACCTCTGGATTGGGTAATGTAAGACCCTGTGAATCTAGAATCCAGGCAGCTGCAGAGCTACCAGACAGCTGACATCTCCATGCTGCCACCCAGCAGTAGCAGTAACCAGCTTGCGTTCCACTTCCTGTGACCTACTGCGGATCCAGACCATGGCAAGTTCCACCTCAAGAGTTTGACAGACAGCAGCCCCATGACTCCTGATTGGCTCCCTGCCCCATATAAACCCAAGGGCATTCCAGGAAGTGTCCTGGCAACAGTACAGATCTCCTGTGGCTGCCACAACTGTTCCTGCTCCTAAATTCCTGGCTTTGACCTCAACTTCATTTGGACTTTGCCTCCTGATGCAATCCTGAAATGTGACTTGGACTCTGACCCTTAGTACCAACCCTGTCCTGGACCCTGACTACGAATACCTCCACTACTCCCAGCCTCAGTTGCCCCCATTGAATCCCTTGGCCCCGACTACCCTTGTTAGAATGCTGACAAGGAGAAATTTCCTCTTTCACAGAGGTTTTGTAAACCAAAAGTTGTTGTGTTTGTAAATGAACTTAGCGCCTTCTATCTGAGAATATCAATGAAAAGAAAGTATTGGTTGAAATCCTTCTTGGAAACTGTGGACTACATGGGACATTTACTAGATTTTC